CCTGAACGTCGTCGCGTTGCTCAACACCTGGTGACTCCGAGGATGGTGGATCCGGTCGACATCTGACTTCTGAGAGGTACTCGAGAAGCACACGTTGTACTATACCTGGAGGGGGGAGTTTTTGCTGAAAATTGAACTAAAATCGAGAGATGTACGTTGATCTCTTTAGTCCTCGGTGTCTGATCTCCGTTAAAAATTGAAGCACGGGAGGCAGGAGAGGTGCTTGCCTACTTGCGCAAATAGGTTGATCTCTCTCTACGGGCCCTTAGTGTCCCGTGTATGGTGGATTTTCGTTGGACGTTGGAGTGAGTTCAGGGCTTCCAAGAGGTACTCGTCTACTTGCTTTTAACGACTCTTGAGGGCGGAAAGTGGTTGGGTCTCTTTAGCTCCTAGTGTCTCGTGGACGGTGGGCTCGCGTTAAAAATTCCAGCGAATTCTGCTTCGCGTCTATGAGCAAGAGAAAGCGTTGGTCTCGTGTATCGTGGAATTTTGTTAATTTCAGACTTTCGCGCGTCTATTTACGTTTAAATACTCTTGCTCGAACGTTGGGGCCAATGTGGGTTTCTACGTGCAAGGAGAGAAAGCGCTGATCTTCCAGTTTCTTCAAATTCTTTATTGAAAATTAGAAATTCATTTAGAATTCCAATCAACAGGGTTTCGTTAAAAATTTGAATTGTTTCTATAGTCTTAAGCTGCTCAAGATGGTCGTTTCGAGTGTCCTTGAATTCCTTTGGAGAAAGGCTCCGTTCCAATAAAATTCGATCTCGTAAACAGAGATCGCGTGACGATCGTTAGACAGTTCCCTTCGAGCGCCATATTGAAATTACTCTGTCGATAGGTTAATCGTCATCGCGAAGACGTATGTAGGTACATATGTATGTAGCTCGTCGCGAGTTAATCGATGTTCGGGTCCACGTTGCGCCATTATCGGAAACATTGGCAGCTGTGCAACGTTCGTATGGATATAACGAAACATCTGCTGACACACGCCGCGAACGAATGACTATTAATATTATTTTTTTTTTTCGAGCTGCCACGATCTTCGCGTGTTTCGTGGGAGCATTCAGGGACGTCACAGAAGAGCGGAGGAATTCATTATAGACCGTAACGTCCGTTGAACACCGGCTGTTCTGGTGTTGTTCCCGCGACAAATGTGGTATAATTGATGCCTGTGATAATGACTGCTTTGCGACATATGGAGGAGATACCTGAATTCTTGTGCAAAGAGTCACCTACTCGTTCTGTTGCGTGTCTCGATTCTCTACAGAGATTCTTGTTCCACGTCAGCGTTGATTAAATTTTTTTTATATTCTTGGTTCTCATAAACTAACATTTTTTTATGAGAAAAATTGCCAATGTTAACCCTTTGCACTCCGAATTATATTTGAATTTTGTTGCTAGTAGCTCCCAACGCTTCTAAGTGTTTTATTTGAAATTCACGTTAAGTAAAAAATGGGGTAATTGAAACAAATAGAGGAACAAACAAATTCAATTGAATATCTGTTTTATGTAATTATTGTTGACAAAACGACATAGGAGTGCAAACGGTTAAAAAGCACCCGCAATACAAGTTCTGTCTGATTTTCGTTTTACCAAAATATATACTTGAGTAAACATCCGTAAGCTACTTATAAACGAGAACACGTTGTCTTCGTTAATGTAAATATTATAGGATAGTATTTTTAAAATGTCGAAGTCGAGGAAAATCTTGAACAGGTGGAAAACGGTCGACCAACGCAAACACGAGTCTAATTTTATTCGCGAGTAAAATGATCCAAGTTATCGTGAGCAGTCTATCTCCGTAAATCATATTCCGTTTCCTCGACTTTCAAGAGAAACACGACTCGACCGCGTTCTTTGATGTCGCGTGTCGGACGCTGATTTATATCGCGTGGGCGGCCAGTCGAGAGATCAGAAATCATACATCCGTGGATCCTTTTGATCCGTGGCTACCAGGGAGGATCAACGATCTTCCGCGGCGATTTCAACGCGTCGCCGTGATCCATAATCGCTGCAACGTTCGATCGTGAAAATAGATCGTCCATCTGCGTTGCACGTGCATTCGGTTGCGAACGATTCGATGATGATTCATCGCGACAAGGGAATTCTTAAATACATATTTTTAAAAATTTATGCTAATATTTATTGAAAATTCTAGGAATATATTTTTTTAATTTTTGAAGACAGAAAATAGCGAAGTACGTCTGTTCGATAAAATGTTCAATGATTCAATTGACATGATTCAAAATTCATATTAATATTTATTAAAAATTCTAGAAATATGTTTTTTTAATTTTTAAAGATAAAAAATAGCGAAGTACGTCTGTTTGATAAAATTTTCATTGATTCAATTGACATGATTTTTAAAAATTCACGCTAATTTTTATTGAAAATTCTAGAAATATATTTTCTTAATTTTCAAAGTCAGAAAATAGCGAAATACCTCTGTTTGATAAAATTTTCATTGATTGACATGACATGATTTTTAAAAATTCAAACTAATATTTATTGAAAATTCTAAACCTGTTTTTTAATTTTTAAAGACAGAAAATAGCGAAGTACTTCTGTTTGACAAAATTTTCATTGATTGAATTGACATGATTAAAAATTCACACTAATATTTATTGAAAATTCTAGAAATATGTTTTTTTAATTTTTAAAGGCAGAAAATAGCGAAGTACTTCTGTTTGATAAAATTTTCATTGATTGTATTGACATGATTAAAAATTCAAACTAATATTTATTGAAAATTCTAAAAGTATGCTTTTTTAATTTTCAAAGACAGAAAATAGCGAAAAGCTTCTGTTTGATAAAATTTTCATTGATTGAATTGACATCATTTTTAAAAATTCACACTAATATTTATTGAAAATTCTACAACTGTTTTTTTAACTTTTAAAGACAGAAAATAGCGAAGTACTTCTGTTTGATAAAATTAACATTGATTGAATCGACATAATTTTAAAAAATTCACACTATTTATTGAAAATTCAAAAACTATGTTTTTTTAATTTTTAAAGACAGAAAATAGCGAAGTACTTCTGTTTGATAAAATTCACTTTGATTGAATTGACATAATTTTTAAAATTTTCACACTATTTATTGAAAATTCTAAAACTATGTTTTTTTTAATTTTCAAAGACAGAAAATAGCGAAGTACTTCTGTTTGATAAAATTTTCATTGATTGAATTGACATAATTTTTAAAAATTCACACTAATATTTATTGAAAATTCTACAACTGTTTTTTTAACTTTTAAAGACAGAAAATAGCGAAGTACTTCTGTTTGATAAAATTCACTTTGATTGAATTGACATAATTTTTAAAATTTTCACACTATTGAAAATTCTAAAACTATGTTTTTTTTAATTTTCAAAGACAGAAAATAGCGAAGTACTTCATTTTTATAAAATTCACTTTGAATATACCTGACCCAATTTTCAAAATTTTTACCGATACATATTTCAAAGTTTCCAGATAGAATATTATTAGTAAAGATACCCGTAAAATTGTTAATTCTAATTGCTTTTTCTCGATCATTGCAACAGTATATGGTTTCCTCGGTATTATTCTCCGCGTTGTTCGAAAGATTGTCCGTCGTATCGCGTTCCCCATCGGTGTGCTCAGGTATTAAACATTCTCGAAGGTAGCTCTGAAACGCTGAGAACGACCCACTTTCGTAATTACTCCTTCATTGTTGTAACAGCGTATTGGCTGGTTGAACGTGGAGTAGACTGGCCTTACGTGGTCGCCTCTAATCCAATCAAACCTCGTTGACACTGGGTCATCGTTGCACAATAGGCGATCCCGACACTCTTAGGTGACAAATTCACGAAAGATTCGCGAACCGTTCACTATTCCCCTCGAAAAATCATCTTTGTACGATCGAGAAACCGTGGAAATATTTTTAACGCAAATACTGCAACTTGGAACAATAATCGTCGTTCCGTTAAAAATACCGGGATACGTGGAAATAAAATCCTGAGAAATGGGGAACATCGATCTTCCAAACACAGGTGTTATTCGTTGCAAAATTTGCCTCGACGATTCCATGGAAATCGCGGTATATTCACGCGATCGATTGTAATTACATTAACAAATTTCTATTATGCCAAGATTGTGTATGTTAAGGAATCGAGTGAAAAGAAAAACGCAAACGGATATTTACCGTTGAAAATAAGTATACGTTGGGTGAAAAGGTGGGACACGTACGCTGTTATTAACCTAAGTTTGCTCAACTATATTCTCTGTTTCTTCTTTCTGTACGGTTATATTATTTGTTACGACGCGAATTACTTCATTTTATAATTGATTTGCTTTCAAAGAACTGGAAATAGAGTTCGTCTAACTCTGAATATCTAAAAAGATCGAGAATTTTTTCACGTCGTTTGATTGATAATTATCTTATTTTAAGCATAGCTCGATGGAATAGAATTTGTGCGCGAAAGTTGTTCCCGTAAAACAGGAAAAAGTTTGAGAACAGCGTTTGCTCGTTTCTGGCGCGATTGAAATTCAAATCCATTGGTTAGCGAGGCATTCGAGAAACCGTTGATCCGGCTATGCCGAGATATTCAGTTTCTCTCGCGTTGCACGGGAGGGACAAAGAACAACCGAGTCTCCTCGTACGGTGGATTTAACGCGGAAACCCGTTTCGACTTTCACAACTGGCAACGGCAAAGCCACTCTCTGTTTGTAGGTTTGATCGTACACCAACACCATCGAACGGAGCGCTCGAGCCAGGGTGTTCCATAAACGCAACGGTTCAGTGTCTACTCCCAGAAATTTTCAAAATGACTCGATTATTCGATTGCTCGAGATTCTAACGTTCGAATAAAATAGAAATTAAGTCCTACAGAAACTCTGTTATTAAAAAAATTAATTTTGTTGACAGACGTTTCCCAAAAATCCCGAGCGAACTATTCCGAAATTGGTCGGGGATTGAAAGGAAGGCTGCTTGGGCCAGAAAACCAGTTTCGAAAGATTCCTCTTAACTGTTTCAGGTCCAAGAACGTCTGGAGGATCCTCCTCTCCACGTGGAACCGGTATGCTCGTCCGTCTGTGACATTGTCGACGAGGTTTGCCACGCTCTCCGCAACTCACGGGACGAAAACGCGCGCGAACTGTCGCGACTGTTGCGTTCCTCGCACCTGAAGGCGCTCCTGGAGACGCACGACGCCGTCGTCGAACGGAAGGAAACGCCGTCGAAGCCCCAACCGCCCCCGCTAACGATGCCCACCAACGAAAGGACAGAGGCTGTCAGAATGGTCGGTTTAAGAAGACAACCCGACGAACCTTTGGTGAGACTTTATCGAAAACCACAAGCACTTACAGTGACCCGCTACTGAAATGATTTTACAATGATTTTACCTTGTTTTACAAGGTAAACTGAAAGGTTCACTTCTACGTTAAAATATAAATTATCCAAGTGACCTGTCTGGAATGTCTCACCCTGTACATTGCTCGACTCTATTATTGTTTCGACTGATTTTAATAACGAGTTTAAAGCTTCCCGTACTCGCCACCAGAGGGACCGTTTTTCTCACAAGCGCTCGACCGACTATCCATTATCAGACTCTGGACGAAAGACCTCCCCTTTCCTCTCCTTTTCCACAAGACCCCCACAGTTGTTTTACAAGGTAAATTAAAAAGTTTTCCAGGAAAACAAACCTCCACCATACTAAGTCACTCATGAATTCGAACAACTTTAAAATTAAAAATGAATTATCCTAGCGATTCATTTAAAAGGTTTTCACGATTTTAATAATTGCAATTATCGCGACTACGTTTCCGTTTGTCTCGAGTCGAAAGTTTATCGTATCTCCGTCTCTAGCGTGAGCAAACGGAAGAAAGTGGCGATCGACAAAGAGAAACAGCCGTTCGCGACGACTTCCTCCGCGGTTCGATCCGCTTTTAGAGGTTCGCCATCACGTGAGAGAATTCCCATTCAGAATCGAGCCCGCCTCGCGCTCGCGCGAAGAAAAGACGGAAATCCCACTTGCGGTTCATAAATAATTCCGGGGCGTTTATTATCGTCGCGATCGCGATTCGACGCCAGCACGTGGGTCCCGAGATCCCCGTCTGGTGTATCTCCGTTCGTCGAGAACCAGAGAAAACGCGTCGAAAGGAATTCGAAGGAATTAATACGGGTATCGTCAGACATCGAAGACATCCATGTTTATAATCCCGACGCGATTCAACGTTTTTATCTATCTAATAGTTGCCAAACCAAAGATTTTAACGCCTCGACAAATATTGAGTTTCTACGTGTGTGCACAGGGTTTAACGGTGCAGGTCGACGAGTCTGGCAACTTGATAATCGCCAGGATTCTAGGCGGCAGCACTGCAGCGCGCCAAGGACTCCTCAGGTCCGGCGAGGTGATCCTCGAAGTGAACGGAAAGGACGTTCGCAATCCTGAGGAGCTTCAGGAGGCCATTCAAGAGGCGAAGGAGAACCTGACGCTCAAATTGGCGCCTGGCATAGCCATCGACGCGAACCGTCCTTTGAAATCTACGGTGAGTCGTCGGAATGACGTTCGCGGAGGAATTTTGATACTTTGGCGTCAGTCTTTCGATGGAGTAAAACGTTAATTTAAATTTAATTGAATCGAGGAAACAAAAATTTGCACAAATAGTAGAAAATCTATGGCGATATTATCGCAATAGCTGTATCAATGTCCAGATTTATTACATTGAATAGCAAAAGGATGAATTGAAAGTATTCTTTGCCCGAGATTTATTTTCTTACCGTAAAAATCGTTGGAAATGACTCCCATTTTTCTGCCAACGTGATCGCGCCACGTGTATTACACTTTCTATGAATCGTTCCCCAGAAACGATAACAAACCTTCGTATTGGTAATGTTTATAAATACAAATGGACCGAAAAATATGTATATAATCTGCAGCAGCGTTTCTCAACCTGAGGCGATAAGATTTTATAACAAAAATGATTGAAAATATGAATATTTCATATCTCTCGTGGTGTAGTATTCAAGATGGCTACCGTTTACAGTGAACAATCCGAATTTTATGATGTTGGTATCGGTTTACGGAGTTTGAAAAATGTGAACGTGCTCGGAGGGTCTGAGTTTATGCGAACGATGTTATAAATTACGGGTTAATGGAATCCATCTCGCTCTTAAAAGTTTTTACGGTGAAACGTAATGGCCGGCGTTCGGAACGCGTGGCAATGTTTGCCGGCGATCTCTCAACGCGGAGCTCTTCGCGCAATTAGATTTAGACTAGGAGATTTTACAACTTTGCTGATCAAATTTTCCCGACGTCCGGCTATTTTTGCCGTATTCTAAATATAACGGTCGACGTTGAAGAAACAAATGAAGTAACACTTTGAGACTCTCGTCTGTTTCGTAGGTAATGGTGAAGTAAATTAAAAATGGGGGGATCTTCGAATCATTGGGTGTCGATCACAAATCACTAGTAAACACAAATGCAAACAAAAGATGTTTCAAAAGATAACTAGTTCTAAAATATAATCATATGAAACATAGAAAACAGACGGCTGAAGCTATTTAACGTAAGAGAAGAAGGAACGAAACGTAAAGATCTGAATGAAATGCTAAAAAAATACGCTCAATAATGAAAAACCAGAAGCGAGAATAAAGATGCATGAGAAAATGACGCTCGTGGAACATGAAAATGTAAAAAATGCAATGAAAAAGTAAACACGATCGAAAGATCCGTGAAACGTTTTACGTAAGAAGTACGTAAGAAAGCGTCACTTTAAAAAGATAAAATTAGCCTTGAGAAACGGTTTCTTTGTTACCAATTATCAAGTCAGTATTTCAATATCGTAGAATGCGAGCTTGGGATTATTTTTTGTTCGATAAATGCAATACGAACCTCCAGAGTTTTCTTTTCGCGTTGATACCGATATTTTCCATTGCAGTGTTACATGAGGGCGCTTTTCGACTACGATCCGTCAGAAGACACCCTTCTGCCGTGCAGGGAGATCGGATTGCCCTTCCAAAAAGGGGACGTGCTGCAGATCGTTGACCAAGCGGACCCAAACTGGTGGCAGGCTCGACGAGTGGAAGGTGAGGGCCTGGGTCCACCGGGCCTGATCCCGTCCCTGGAGCTCGAGGAACGAAGAAAAGCGTTCGTGCCCCCGGAGGCGGACTTCGTCCACAAGATCAGCATCTGCGGCACCAGGATATCTAAAAAGAAAAAGAGGAAGATGTATCAGTCCAAGTCTAACGGGGAGTTCGATGGCGCGGAGCTGCTTCTTTACGAAGAGGTGGCCAGGATGCCGCCCTTCAGGCGCAAAACATTGGCCCTTGTTGGCCCCAGAGGCGTGGGTCGCAGGACGCTGAAGAACAGACTGATAAACAGCGATCCTGACAAGTTTGGCACCATCGTTCCATGTAAGCTTTTACATCTTTGTTAAGAGGATCCTATCAAGGATTCTACCAATGGAAAGCTCTTTTTGCTCTCGTAACTTTCATTATTCCTCGACCTCTCGTTACTATTATAACTGTACAGGATGTTCGACCAGATACCCCCGAAATCCTAAGCACTTTCGAGAAAAAGATTCTTTACCGGAAATATCATTTCTGGGCAGAAATGCTTCCTCGAAATTTCATGTAAATGTTTAAAATACTATAACTTCTGAACGGATTCGAGGATTTTAAAGTTCAAAAGTGCAAACAGCGCGTATTTTGGTGCAGAATATGTAGACATTCCAAGAATATTCGAAAAGTTGTTTTTTAATCCCGTGAAATGAGAAAAACCCCCATAAAAATTGTCCCATCTTCAAACGTCCATAACTTCTACAATAGTAAACGTATCTCGATGAAATTTAGTATGGAAGTAGAGCTCACGAATACCTACAAAAAACTACTAAACAACATTTCCGTAAGACGTCAAACACATTGATTAAAAATGAAAAACGAATTTTTAAGAAAAATCGACCCAGGGGATAGCTGCTGAAATTTTACGGCGAAACAAAAAATTTCAAATCGTCCTGAAAAAATTATTTTCAATTACTGGGGTCGGTTACAATCATTTTTGGCGAATAGACATACCCCCAAAATCCTACCCACTTTCTAGAAAAAAATTCGAGAAGGTGTGAAATATTTCGACGGAAAAAAAGAATTTCAAATCGTTCTGAAAAAATAATTTTCAGTTGCGGGGGTCAATTACACTCATTTTTGGTGAATAGACATATCCCCGAATTCCTGCGCATTTTCGAGAAAAAAATTCACAAAGTGGACAAATTTTTCGACAAAACTAAAAATTGTCAAATCATTCTAAAAAAAATGTTTTTAGTTACAGGGATCAATTATAATCATTTTTGGTCAATAGACATACCCCCAAAATCCTACCCACTTTCTAGAAAAAAATTCGAGAAGGTGTGAAATATTTCGACGGATAAAAAAAATTTCAAATCGTTCTGAAAAAATTATTTTCAATTGCGGGGGTCAATTACACTCATTTTTGGTGAATAGACATATCCCCGAAATCTTGCGCATTTTCAAGAAAAAAATTCGAGAAGATGTGAAATTTTTCGGCGAGAAAAAAAAATTTCAAATCATTCTGAAAAAATTATTTTCGGTTGGGGGAGTCAATTACGATCATTTTTGGTGAATACACCTACCCCCGAAATCCTACGTACTTTCGAGAAAAAAATTCTTTACCGAAAGTATACCGTGTGGACGGAAATGTTTCTATAACTTTCTAAGGAAGCCTCAACCAACAAATTAGTATTCTTGTTTTTCGTCTTATTTTGGCCCGCAGAATCTGCCATTAAAATGTTTCTTGGCTAGATTATTTTTAGATCGAGCAGAAAAATCATATCTTGGTTAAGGTAGTTCTCTTCATTATTCTGACGAAAATGAAAACTGTTTGTACGTAGACACATCACGACCGCCCAGAGTGCTCGAAGAGGATGGCAAGAGCTACTGGTTCACCGATCGCGAGGGGATGGAAACCGATATCAGAGAGCACCGGTATCTCGAGTACGGAGAACACGTCGGCCATTTGTACGGAACGAAATTGGACTCCGTTCGCGATCTGATCAGAGCTGGGAAAATGTGCGTGCTGGACTGTAGTCCAGCCGCTCTAAAAATCCTTCACAACAGTACGGAGTTCATGCCATACGTAATTTTCATTGCCGCCCCGGGGATGGAACAATTAAAGTGTCTGTACGACCTTGGAAGATCGACTGGGGCGAGCAGTCGAAATTTAACGGTAATTAGTACGGTCTCGTTACGCTTCCTCTTACCGATATAACATATTCGTTTCTTTTTTTTTTCCTCTACGAATCATACGAGTAATGTTATCGAGAATGCGACTTTGTATGAGTAAAATATTGTATACCGCCTCGGCATTATTATTGCAACGAACGTGGCAGACGTTTCATTTAAAACAAACACAGCCATCAAACGTTTTACGATTGCAGCGTTTCGAGAATCCCCCCTGCTTGCCAGTCTGTTTGCAGTGTAATTTAGTTTACTGTAAATGTATCGCATGCACCATCCCCCCGTTTTATTAAAACGATCCGATTGATTTGTCCCACGGGATCGTTCGTACCATTCCTAAAAAAAAGTTTGTTACGAGACCGACACACGCTGTTTCTGTCTGCGTTACTCGGAATATCTCTACACGCTCGCGTACATTCCCTCCAGTTTACGTAGCGTTCTTTATTTAATCTTTCGTATGTATTTGATGTTGGCTTTGCTAGTTTGACCGCCAGAGTTCCATCAGGTACAGCTCGAGGAGAGCCAGGACGCTGGAGTCCCTTGCATCCTTGTACGAGGTTTGTATTGCATGGATTATCACTTTATCAGTTTCTTTTTTTTTTGTCGTAATTGATCCGTAGATGCGTAGAGTAATTGCTCGTAAATCGTTACCACACAGTGTTACACTTTTTTATTAATATTTGCGGTGAACTGCTTTCAAAAGTGTATAAACATCTTTATACTTAAATGTACATAAATTATTTTACCTTGAATCAACGTTAGGTCAACAGATACAACAAAACACTGCTTTGGAAGCAATTGTATCCCAAATACTTTCATAAAATTTTAATAATAAATTAAAGAAACGATAAAAATGCAACATATTTCAATACATCTATTCCCGACCCCAGCACCTACCCCAAATTGTTAACAGTCGCTGCACACGCGTGATAGGACACGTTTCGACTAAACTGCACCCGAGTGTCTCGCTCCGACATCACGAAACCAAAGTGTAAATGTTCATTACAACTCTGTTTACGCCTGATAGGAGGACGATCTGAAATCAACGCTAGAGGAATCCGCGGCCCTGCAGCGCGCCTACGAGAAATACATAGACCTGGTGATCGTGAACGAGGACTTCGACAACACGTTCAGACAGGTGATCGCCGCGTTGGACGCGTTGGCCACTGAACACCAATGGGTCCCCGTGAACTGGATCTACTAGACTCCTTGTCGACTCAACTGACCGGTCGAGGACTTCGACGAAACCCACCACGCCTCTGCCTGTCTTTTCATCCTGCGTTTACTTTGTTTACTTAAAGAAGAAGTACAAATCACCATGTATTTTTCTGAAAAACATACCAACGAAAGCAACCAGGGATTGGACCTTCATGGAGAGTAGTCTTTAACCGACGATCTACCCCCTGACACCACCACTGCCAGGGGGTTGTTGGGCCCCTAAATAACTAGTAATGAAGGAACGGATCTTGGGAAGACCTACTCGACCATAGGTGCAACGATTGTAAGGATATTTTATTACATTAAGCTCCCCCCCTGGAACGCAACCCTTACTGAGGATAAACTGTGAGAAGATCACATACTATTGAGTCTAGACACCCTCGATCATGGAAAATTAGCAAGGACCGCCATGACAGTGAAAAGAGAAGGTAAAAGTGGACGTGCCCTGGTCGGGCGGTTGACTCGACAACGATTTTAACCACGATTTGGGTCGACTCGACGAGGAAGTGATCGTAGATATCACGAACTGGAGCGGGAAACGAGCAAGCGAATCATTACTGCCCCGAGGAACACGCGACAGCGACCTTCGTAGCTCGTCGAGCTCAATGTTGAGTGTATCCTCGCCGCCATTGTGTTTACTGCACTGCACTTCGTGCGATGCAACTGTTTTATGGTCGTACTATATGTATAGAGAGTTTAGTGTGTTGTATATTGCCTCGATTAAGTGTATAGATACTTTAATTCAGTGGTTACGATGGATGGACGAGTCTATTTTAAAAAAAAAAAGAGAATCTTCACAGACTGTGTTCCTTTTCTTCCGTTCGAAGAAACGCACGGGCTACGAAGGTCGCCGAGGCTGCCCGGTGGCGACCTCTTCATTCGTTTCTAGCAAGTACAATCATAGCATTTACGTTATTTTGTTTTAGGTTTACGACACGACCCGTTCCACCGTCAGAACCCGGTAATTTTCTTCTCACCAGGGACAGGCAAAATTGTATTCGAATAACAGATAAATAAAACCAACGTACATAACAATTTAATCTGTATCTGTTCGTTGCGAAATGTTTCATTCTATAATTGATATATTCTTGATAATTAACGAATACTCATTTATTTCTCGTTATTCGACTTTTTATCCGGATACGAATTTTGCCCATCTCTACTCGTCACGTACCGTAAATACTATTTATTGACGAGAAAAGTATACGTCACAATATCAAAATAAAATTTGCCCGGCTCTAACCGTTTTTGAAACCGGAGCTCTGTCGAATCAGACTTTAAAAATGTAAATAATGGGTAGTCAACTCGAAAGTTATGCAATGGTTACAGACGGTCGACATAACATAATTTTATACATTCCCCAGAGAAACTGATAGACGTCGAATGGGTCGATAAGAGTAAGCATTAGACCGCCGTCCAATTAATTTTAGGATACGCCTAGTTTTCTAATTTTCCTCGAAACCACGAGCCTGCATACACTTATGTGCGTTTATTTACCGTAAGCGATACTTTACTTCTTTTTATAGATACGTAATAAAACATTACGTACTCTGTACTTCATGTACTGCTCGTGCACGCTGAACGTATTCCTGGCATAGAGTGCCTTAAACAGCGCAATCCTTTAACCGAGGAGTTGCCACAAAGACCTACTATGTCGACGACGAGATTGTCTTATTATACACGAGAGTTTTTATGTAAGAGACACGACGGATAACACGGTTTTTTTCTAATGCTCCGACCACGTATGCACGCAGTAACGCACGTCAGTTGCGAGACATTCTGTACACACAATCGGTACGTTCCGATCTTGTCGCGTCACATACGTCAGAATAAAGTTTATCGAGCGTTCGTTACGAATTTGAATCAACGGTACCTCTTTGTCGCTCCTATCGTCCCCGATCCAAACGATCTTCAACCTATTTGAAACACATCTTTGTTAACTCGCAAAGTGCTTCTCGCATGACGTACAATTTCAAATGAATTTTATCGACGAAGTGAACGAAAACGATTGGTTGGTTTACGTGCCCGATGCGTTGGAGCCGACCAATGGCGTTCTGCCGTCTGCCGCGTTTCTAAGACTGTTCCAATCAGAGTGACGGGACAACGGAAATTGCCCCTCCGCTTACACACGCTATGCGCAGCCACGTGTACGTGTATGCCGGTTTTCAGCTAACGAGAATGAAAAGGAGAGGCTTACGTTCGCCTTTTTTTCTCGAATTCCTGAAGCTGCCCGAAACGCAGGAGCTCACGTACACATGTTCGTGCATTGGTATGCATAAGTGGAGGGGCAGTTTCCTCTAGGCACCGGTCTGCCGTCTGGTAACACTGCACTGGTCTCGTTGTCGCGTATGTGTTGCGGGAAAAGTCAGCACGTCAGAAAGAAAATTTGGGTGCAATTTCCATCAGTATTAACGGGTTCATTTAGTCGATTAAAGATGCAAATATTACGACAACTGGACGTGCACCCGAAGGTGCGCGAAGAGGCGGACATTCTCGTGCGAACTTTTACTGGTGCCCTCGGTAAAGTGTTACAGTTGTCAAAATTTACACGAATACCGCCTGTCAATTGTATTACCACTATACTTATTAATAATTTTATATACGAGTTTTTCAAGAGAGTTATAAAACCGAAAAATCTTTGAACAATTTGTCGTTTCTTGTTTCGAAGCTGATGCTCGTGTCATGTTTAACACGTTGGCTAAACGCGGCTAACCTAGAATTTTAATATTTTTTAATAAAGCTCTAAAATTTCGTTGGTTCGTCCTTTCATGAAGATCACTACCACTTACTGTCATTCTCTGGAGCATCGTTCTAATTTTTGTACAACACGTTTATTAGAACCTACGATCGATGCTTATTGTTTACGTTTGAACGACCGTAAATAAAGTGTATAACCTTCGTATATTTACCGTGTACGCCATGTGTGATTTCAGTAACGATCATTAGCACGATTATCATGGGCATTTTGTTTCTATCCGAAGTAAATTATTATCTCACGCCTACCTTGAGCGAAGAATTGTTTGTAGACACGTCGAGAGGCTCTAAATTAAGAATAAATTTGGACGTGATAGTTCCTACAATGTCTTGTGATCGTAAGTGAATGTTATCTAACGTAAACTATTATTGATAACGGTAACAAGTGTATTAAATTGAATGCATTCCAGTTTTATCGATAGATGCCATAGACATAACCGGTGAACAGCATTTACAAATAGAACATAATATGTTTAAAAGACGTTTAGACTTAACCGGTAAACCTATAGAAGAACCACAAAAAACCGGTGCGTGTAAAACCATAAAGAACTAAGACTTACGGTTAACGACATAAAATTAAGATATTTTTTTTTATTGTATTGTAGATATTACTGATACAAAAGCACTTAGTAAATTGACAGAAAAGGTATCTAAATTATTCACTACATTCTTCTACAGATCTTTACATCCTAACTTTTGAAATTAGAGTTATAGTTGAAAAAACCGTACTCTTTTACAGACAGCTGAAAGTACTACTGCCGAAATATGTGGGGATTGTTATGGGGCTGCTAGCGAAAAAATCAAGTATGATATTACAAAAATTTATAAATATATTTTATGGAAAATGTGAATACAATTAAATAAATTGATCCTATAGATGTTGTAACACTTGCGAAGATGTAAGGAAAGCGTACAAAGAAAAAAAGTGGGCGCCACCTTCTGATCCAGAATTGATATTACAATGCAAGAATGACAACTCCGTAGAGAAAATGAAAACTGCCTTTACCCAAGGATGCCAAATCTATGGTTACATGGAGGTAAATAGAGTAGGAGGAAGTTTTCATATTGCACCTGGCAATAGTTTCTCTGTCGATCACACACATGGTGAGTGAAACACGTGTCCACTTCCTCTTACTTAAATTAATGTTTCCAAAGTTTCTAACATGTTTCTACTTTTTTTAAAATATCGTTCAAAGTGCACGATGTTCGACCGTACAAGATGACACAATTCAACATGACCCACAAGATACGCCACTTAAGTTTTGGGTTGAACATTCCAGGAAAAACAAATCCTATGGATGACACCACTGTAGTTGCAATGGAAGGTATGTCTGTACTCCTTAGAAATATTTTATTAAGAAATCAACAAAATGCACTCGCATTACAATCCTTTGTATCCTAAATTTTGAACATAACAGTCTTCTAGTACTAACACCGTATTCCAGTCCCAATGGCCATAAATGTACCAAACGTTCCACCACCTTGAAGCATCACTTTCCCAACATTGTTTATCAATTCTCTCCCTCTTAATCCGTATCTGACAATAAACGTTCTATTACCTTCTCGATTAAAATATCCTTCGGGTTTACTTATAATAAATAAATACCTAAGCGCAGAAAATCCCCCAAATATAGCACCAGAGGCCATGCCGACACAAAATCCAATCATGAAACCCATTTTCATCCTCTCGAAACACGAAGGACCTTGTTGGTACACTCCTCCTGGTACGACTGGCATTTTAATCTACAAATATACCTTTGGATAGAAATACATGCTACCCTTAACCAGTTCGATTTACTATGATCGATAAATTATTACGATTTCCTTGCGCGGATAGAAAAAGTATATCAAATTTTTGATATATCATTTGACATGAAATTCACGGAGCATAATCGATCCGGGATAAAACATTTATCTTTATTGTCTATTCAAAATTTGGCTCGAGTAAATTTTAGTTATTTCACGTACGGACGAATTTATTAATACCTTTTACGATTAGCATCACTCACAATTTAAGCGCCCGTTGTAAAATTTCGAATTGGTATCCTCGTCCCGGTGTAGTTCTCTTTATATTGCGATTTGCAAGCTCTTCGCACGAAATTCTTTTAACACATTGCACCAGCAGGTTCGTACGGTAAAGGCGCCATGTTAGTTTCTTTCTACACAAGAGATCAGTGCTTCCGTTCCTTGTGACGTCACTCTCAACAGCGGGCAATTCAATTTGCAAATCGGATGCTTTAAGCGTCGTGCCGAACTTATCGAAAGTTCTTTCACTTTCAATTTTGACCTGTTTAATCCGTTGGTTTCATTTTTGCTGCGTACTGATACGGATCGTTTCGACTGAAGTTCCACATGAACGTTTCGTTGTTTTTCTTATTTTTCAGGGGCGATGACGTTTTACCATTACATAAAAATCGTGCCTACAACCTACGTTCGCGCCGATGGCTCGACATTATTAACGAATCAGTTCTCTGTGACACGACACTCCAGACAGCTGTCGTCGTTCAGTGACGAGTCAGGAATGCCTGGAATATTTTTCAGCTACGAGCTGAGCCCGCTGATGGTTAAATTCACGGAAAAAGCGAAGTCGTTCGGCCATTTTGCGACGAACACATGCGCGATCATCGGTGGCGTATTCACAGTCGCCGGACTAATCGATTCGTTGTTGTATCACTCGGTCAGGGCGATACGGAAAAAGATAGAATTAGGAAAATACAATTGAAGTAGGTAAATGAATAGATATGAAAAGTATTATGGGAGGTCGGAAGGTTTTATAGTTTGGACTTCTATCTAATAATTGAATAACAAAAAAGATCTGAACCAATGTTTCTCGATTTGGTTACGAACCCTTAGACGACCTTGTGCTCTTTGAAGAAAAAAAGTGCATGTCAAGGTTTTAAAATTTTTACCGCGTATTTTTTTTTTATGCTCGTTACGGTAATTTTCTTTTATTAATAATACCGGCGGAAAGTCAAAGTTTGAGAAACACTAATGTGAATTATTCGCTCGGAACATTTTCCGATTTTTTTTTTTATAATGACCCGAATAATACGATCTCGACGGATGAATCTCTCTTGCGTGTAAAAATATAAAAATTTGTACATAAAGATCTATAGACGATCTAGAAAATTTAATATTTAAGAGACAGATATAAACATAATAAAGATTATACTGCTAAAAAAAAATAGAACAATATGAATGTAAATATTTATTGAAAGTGTAATTGTTTGCGCAAATTATTGTTTCAACATTACATAGACTTTAGAAACATGTTATACGTCTGAATAGAACTTTTTGCTACATTTTTACAAAATTCTACATCAGTGCCGGCGACTACAGCTGCCGGCGATACGTATAATGGTTTCAAAGGATCGTACTGGTTCTTTTTTAATTCTACTAAAAATCTATGCCTTTGCTCGAGTCTGCACATTCTACATACTAAAATCTCCGATTGCCGAGATAAAATTTTATGCGATAAGTTCATTTCATTATGAGCATAATTGAAACTTTGAATTATTTTCCCCCTGCCTGAAATAAAAGTAAACAATTTCTTTTGTCCGAACAAATTATGTAAAATTCAATTTTTAATATTTACCTCCGAGCCACAAACGTCCTCGATTAAGCAAGAGAAGTTGCATTTCTTCTAGATTGAAACCCATTTCCTCTTTTATGACAAAAGTACTCGTTTTTACATGATCCCAATTATACGTTACAAGCTTCGGGGTATGTAGAGATAAAAGTCTTATTTTATGACCATTCAGTTGGAAAACATGTTGAAAATAACCTAATCTATAATCTAATACTTTCGTTGAGAGGGACATCCATAAAGGATTGCGATTTAATATTGATTGTATCATCTCCGGAGTAAAACTGTGCGCCCTTAAATATCTTATTCTTGTGTGAAGATCGTCCATGTCCACTTTGAAAATTGTAGGATATTTGGTAATGAATTTACCAAAATTTGTTGCTATTACGCCACAGTTATTTAAAAACGTTAAGTATGGTTTTACATCTTTATCAAAATCCAAGCTTAGAAGCAGTTCTACCGCTTCTCTTTGTTTTTCTATTTTATGTAAATCTACTCCTAATTTAACTAGTTGTTGAATTGTGTATGATTTATCGGCAAATGCTGCAAAATTATATGTCGGTTCTATACAAGGTCCAAGATGAGAAAGATCTTCTGTGCAAACATCAAATGGTCCTGGTACATTTATATCTTCTAAAGTATTGTTACACTTATGCTTATTTTTTTCTAAGAATGCAATAAGATCCTCGTGTTGTGAGTTGTCCGATATTTCTATTATGTTACTATTATTTTTATTGTTTACATCAGTGTTTACAGAAACGTGATCTTCTAAATTATCTACATAACCTGTACTGTCAGGTTTAACGTCGTTCTCTTCGCGCCTTCTTTTTAAAATTTCATTTAGCCATTTATCATCAACAATACCCATTTTAAAACAAAAGGAAAGTGGCGGTTTATTGGAAACATTTCGAGAAATAAGATTTCTAGTTGTAGCTTTCGAACGCAAGAAGCATAATAGCACGCGCGATTGTAAGAACACCATATTTTACGTTAAAATGTTCATGGCATTGCAGACTATCTATATCTTTCCTTTTGACATGATAAATAGCAGGTAGAAATGCAAATTTTCTGATGAAATTATGCACAGTACTACACTTGTCTATAACTATGGATACGTAAATACGGTAAATACTAGAAATGACACACAACGTTCGACTTTCTATTAAAATATTTCGATAGATCGATTATTTAACTCCCTGTGACTCGACGAACATACTCCCTCCACGCATCCTGAACCAAACCTACGAATTTCCGACTTTAAATCAACTTACTCAACATGTTTCAAGTAAAAAATTATACAATTACCATATTTTACTATTTTATATGATAATTTCCTTCATTTTATGTACGTAAGGATACAAACAAAATCATATCTCGCGTAAGTCTGTATTTCTTCACTTCGTAAAATTCTTGGTATCGGTACGAACTCGATCATTAGTTTAGGTCCTTGTTTATTCCAAGTCGCGATAGTAATTCTATATACAATTCAAATGCGAATAAATGAAATTCATCTTCTCATTTCGACAAACGGTCTACTTTCAACAATTACGTATTACATTGATGTGTAAAATTGTGACCACGAAAGAAGTTTGTTTTTGAAAAAGAATCCGATCTTATTTTTTATTCTATTTTCAAAATAATAGTGAGAATATTATTTTATAAAATTTATATACGACGATACGTTATGTTTGAATTACCAACACTAGATTTTATCAACACCGTCGGTTAGTAGGGGTTAAATACGCGTATACTGTTCCTACAAATCGATATATATCGATGTATGGATAATATAAATAACGCATGTGTAGTAAATAAAAATTACATAGTTTTATGAAGGAATATTTTATTACTTAGACTGATTAGTCACACATTAAATATGACGGCAAGAAAAATCTTCTCTGATTTACACAAATATACAGCATAAGGATGTTTTCACTGATTGCAAATATAAGCGCGATATTCCTTGATTGGGACAGCAATTTTTTTTTTTCCTAAAAAATGTATACTCATTCACGCATACATGCATACATATATATGTACCTAGAACCATAATTATCTAATTATGCCGTGTCATATCAATTTTTTTTCCTAGAAGCAATGCATATTACAATAATAAGTACACTGGTAAATATATTAAGAACACTTTGAGTTGCAACGAATATTTTAACGTTTAAATAAAAGCAGAGAATTGTCGGAATGTACCTTAATATAAGATAATATCCATTTATAGAACACATAATTTTCCATGGTTCTCACATTTCAGTATTCGATTAATTATGGAATAAGTTATACTTAAAATTTCATACTTGCATTCTAATCAATAACATCATACACATATAGTACGAGATTGGAAGTACAGCTTACCGACAGTTTAAATAGTCAACTTCAATATGAATTACAGTAATGACTATGTCGGCATCAGCTTTTTAGAAAATGCTATCTTTCTTAAATAACATTTGCCGAATTTCATAATGCCGTGATATACCACTTTGTTTGTGGCGAGAGTAAGCTAGTGCTTGTGTTTCGGTAATGTACATTCTCATTCTTTTGTTTTTACACTTCTTGTCGCCGGACTAGAAACTTTATTCCTGCTTTTCCCTTACAACGGCGCCGTTTGCATTTGTAGATTCGTCTTCAATTTGTAGATTCCTTGCTTGTTGCCTTAATTGGGCTCTCTTCAGACTGGTCATTAATTGACTGGATTGATAAAGCCAACTAGCCTGGAAGTATAATACACGAACGAATGGAAATGCATTAACAAGCAATACGCATTGATTATTTATAACCCTATTAAATCTTCATCTACTTACAATCATAATCATACAATTCATCAAGATAGGCACAGAAAATACTACTGATATGAAGAGTCCTTTAGAGTCGAAATACTGTTGCCTTGAAAATAGCCTATCGAAATTTTATAAATATATCGTTACATGTACATTGCTTGTTTAGGCAATAATTTTACATCTTAAATTACTTACATCCAATTACATGCAGCAACTTCATTGATGCTTTCGGAAAAATATACTAAAAGTACTGAAACGTAGAAACAAAACGTATGACAATACAGAGTAATTAGTACTCTCGTTTGAGATATAAATATACTCACACAGAGCAAGGAATAACATAATTTGAAAATTGGCATGGTTTCTCGTCATTAATGCAGTCATTGTGACAACGATATGGAACGTCAATAATAAGGCAAGCCATGGGTCCCTCCACTCAATCTGCAATGATTTGTAATTCAATCCAGGCATTTGTATCTTGATATTCGCTCCACGATGATATTACATAACGAAATAAAAATACTATGGATCGCCAAAGACGCAAATAGAAAATTAAAATTGTATCGCAGTGGAAAAAAGAATAATGTAATGCAATTTATTTTTATAATCGTGAATTATTCATGTGTTAAATATCGCGTCGTGACTTATTCAAAACGATAATCTTTGGCACTGAAAATATCGAATATCGTACTTGATAAGAGAGAGAAGAGATCAACTTTTGAACAGAATTCGAAAAGCGAACATTTCTCGAAATTTCTAGAACGAAACAAACGAAAAAGTGACAGTGCCATACCATGGAATGAATTGGCCAACGGTGATACATGCGCCGAAAATAGACTGCGGAGTCGGAATACCCGTAAACATTTTTATTCGACGATATTTCTCATGGACGGTTATTACTAAAGCAGGGTTTATGGAAACCGTGTCACGAGACAGATATCTCCGATATGTCTAGACAATCGAATCGCAAAGCCAATAAAGATTGACATGTGGGTCAGTGGTTTTGCGTTTGATATTATTTTCGCCGGCTATGTACCGAGAACGAAAGCCGCCGAGGGAAGAGGAAACGTTAATTTTCTCTGTCGGTTATTCTCGTGCTAGCTGGATGAAAAATCGGAGAAGCAGTCAGTGGTTGAAGAAACAACGAGATGAATGTTCGATAGCGTCGCGAAAATATTGAAAAGAATCGAAACACTCACGCTCTGCAAGAACGGCAGAAAACCGTCGATCGTCGACTTTAATTGGTTCTCATCCGTCATCGTATCGCTGACGAAACTCTCGGACCGTACGGGAAAAAACTGCACATCCGCAAAATAAATTCGGGCCGCGGTGCCCTTTCCGCTGGCTCCTTTTAATCGATGCGGCTGTGGATGAAAGGAACGAAACCCACCAAAGAGACGCAGATAGTAAACGCCCGCGTACACGGCAGCACACGGGAAAAACAAATATTCGTGGTAACAGCACAGCAGACGTTATCTCCCTCTCTTACCGCCTCGTTCCCGTCTTTCCCGTCGTCGCACACGCGATTTTATGGAACTTCACGGGGATTAACACGTTTAGAATAATACACGCATCAATTCATTTTCGCGTAGTCACCGCTAGAGGTCTAAATATAGACGTCGATTCTCGCAAGTCTCGAACAGAGCATTTGTTCCATATCAATAACGAAATACTTCGTTCAAATATCCTCCGGATTTATGCCAGGACCTTACTGGTAAATTCAGTAGTAAGTTTTGCCCACCGCACCCAGGACGAAACGCGACTATTATTCTTTTTTTCTTCGTTTTTCGAGCGTCAACTTCAATGGCTACATCGCACGAAGAGAGTACCGCCATCTGCGATTGTTTTACTCATCTATAATCGTTGCACTGAAAAGTCATTGATGGAAGGCGCCCTCTGCTAAACACGGATGCAATAAAAACGATAACGGGGGAATAAAATATGATTTTATGACGTGTGATTACAGGCTTCGAATTGATATGACACAGAGAATTTGTGCAATAGTCTTTCAGAATGTAACCAATAATACGAATAAATTTCTTGACTTCGTTTGCGAAATTAAATGGATAATGGACGGTCTGTTTACTGTTTTAACGTTAAAACGTTCCGTTCGTTAAATAAATAGATAAAGCAGATTCGCCTTGATATAAATTGCACGTACGATTTGATCAAGAATTGATCAAACGATTCACGAGCACATAGAAAAATTGACAGAAGAGTAAAACCACTTCTGATTCGTTCATAATCGTTGACCACGTGCTCGGCCCCGTGTTGCGAAATATAGACTCACACGAATCAAGATGCTGCAAATTAAGTAGAACCTTCCATCGTGTTTATCTAATCTTAATTCTATAATTCACGGTATAATAACGCATTGAAATGCTACAGTATATTAGCAAAATAGTTCTAGACGATATACTGATAAAAATTATTACGATAAATGTAGGTTAGAGTTGTTAATCTTGGATATGTACTCGAGAATTTGATTTTTTTAAATTGTAGTTTTTTACTGATAATATTGAGGTACTTAACATTTAGTGATCGATTTGGTAATCGTGTTAATTATAAATTGGTTCATCAGATAATTCCGTATAATATTAATATTTTGCAGGGCTCTACATTACCGAACGTGCAATTCAAAAGCGTTATTCGCGCATATCAAACACATGATTGAAATCTAATATAGTGATAGTATTTGTTATATCGACGTCAATAATTTGTAATGATATATATTCACTTTGTTAAATTTGAAGCATAGTAATGGTTATCGCGCGTGTTTAAAAAACGAAGCAACATTTTCGTGTCGATGAAGGGAAACAATTCACAGAAAGCGATCAAGGAAGTGAATTTTTAAACCGTTTCGCACGATGCATTTTATCGGTAATAATTTTAAACAGGTTTTGAAAATTTACATAACGTTCAACGATCAGGCTATTGATCAATTTGCGCAGAACAAATTCGAAGCGATACAATGGACGAGATTATACATAGATTGTTTCTTGAGGAATATTTTGTATTGCATCCGATTATGTTTATCGTCGTTCGATAAGTAGTTGTTTATTCAAATGGAAGATAGATTTTACAATTCTGGTTCGATAATTTTTTCAATTTGTATAAATCGCACAGATTAATTATAAGAATCGTTTTGGGCCGATTTAATCGCCACAATACGAGGTAATAAATCATTGAAAGAAATATCATAGATACAACTGACGAGGATTTAACTTTGATTAAAATTCATAATTTTTATAGAAATAAGATAGAATAAGAAACATTTATTTATAATTTTGTTCTTTTTTTTAAATTAAACGTTATAATTCTTGTTAATTCTTGTTTATGACACTGCAAAAGTTTTGGGTCTTTCCTGGAACAACTAGATCAAGAGTATCCAGTTATTCTGCGTCATCAACGTCGCATCGTCCTCCAACCAAAGCACCAATTCACCGCCATAATTGTTACTCTTTGTCTCGAATAGCAGCTCGGAGGAAAAAAAAAACGATATTCGCGTACAAAGTCTTGTCCCAAGATACAAGGAAGAGACGATGCAAATCGCCGGGACTCGCAGCAAACCCTAGTTACATTTACGTAATCTTCGATGCATTTATAAATCCACGAAGTAAATGAAAAATGAAAAATCACAGCTACGTTGAAATTCACTATTTTGCTACTCGATATTAAAATCAAGATATCTTTTAGACCAATGATTTTTCGCCATATGTAATCAATCTATATAAAAATATATAATTTTAACACTAGAATTATCAAACCAGTCAAAATGATCGTAATTTCTAATAAAATTTGTAAAAAATTTACTCGACTGAATTTTTGGAAATTTAACGTTGCGTTATACATTTCTTCTCGTACTTATCGTTTCAATTTCCTTGGTACAAATAAACACACTATAATTATCGGTTATATTTGAGTGATTTTTAAACGGGTCACCCTATATTCGCCAAATAAATAAATGATTTCCTCGCGCAGACGATCTAAAACTTTAAAAAGTAGTTTTTCTTTGCCATTAAAATCCGATTAGATCTCGATAACCTGGTAGAATGTTGTAACACGAATAAAATGGGATGAAATATTGCTAAACGTCACATTATGAGATACTACTGTATAAGAAACCCGCTAATTTGCCTTGTGAGATCGATAGATCCACATTAACATTGATTGTAATTCTGCGTGGTAACGCTCGCTATAACCTTCACATTCGAAGATCTCCTGTTTCTACCCCCTGGCGACACCACCTCCAGGGGGTTATTAGATCCAGAACAACCAGCCTACTCATCTTTAACGAATCACAGAAGAAGGGTACTCAAACGACTCTTCTTTACCCCAGCGTGCACTCGATCGTATGGACGATTTTTCATTTTTTTCATCTTTTTTCTCTGAACAGAGCCTATAGCAATTGCTTAATTGTTTCAGGGGACGAGAGGTTATTTATTCAGCCCCTCGAAATGAGTTTCGAAGCTACGAAGAAGCGAAGCGTTGCAGGTAATTACGTACTATCGTTCCCTCGATAACTTTCGCGTTGTGGACTAGCCAGAGAACGTTAACGAGGGAGGTCTACTCTCTCTGTCAGGCTCAATGGTATTGCAGAAAAAAGCAGAAGACACTGAGAACGAGCGAAACAGAGAGCAATGTTTAATAGATTTAAAAATCGTCCAGAAATTGCATGATTTATGCCTTCCAACACATTCACTAGCCATCAATCTATTCTTTTACATCTCCTTCCTAGTTCTTGCCATAACCAACTTGCTATAGCCCCTCTGTTTCAGGTTAGAACACCAACCAGAATCATGGAACCCAGTAGTTCAACTTTCTCAGAAGACCCATTAAACAAGAAGCTATAACTCCCACAATTTTTAATATTTCTCGATGAAAAAAATACTGGACATACTCATGAGATGAGTGAATATAGCTGCAAAATCTCAGTTCGAAATAACCTACCTACCATTCAAAAAAAAAAATCACAAAATAAGAGGAGATAATGGCAGTCTAGAATAGGTTTTTGAATCGTCCCAGCCCAACAGCCCCGTTCGAAGCCCCGAAGCTTACCTTTCGTGGACCAATACCATCGATCTATAGGGTGGATGGAAACGAGACAGGTCCCTCGATCCCAGTTCCATGTTCATTTTATCCACGAGCACAAAAAGAAGCGAGCCGCCCGTTCGCGTCGATCGATGCTTATCAACGGCACTGAACGAGCCGAGCAAAGTTTGTCCTATGTTTCTTCGTTATCGGGTGACGCGTTGCTGATGTGTCTCATCTTTCGGTGTACACTAGCGGCACGAAATCGGCCGCCGACGAGCGCACGTCCCGGAGATCGGGCCGCCATAACGGCTGGACTTTGAGCGGTCAAAGATTGGATCGAGATGGTGGACAAGAGGAGGCCTCCTTCTCCTCGTGCGAGATATATCGGGTCACAGATATATCGCGGACGTCCTGACGCGAGGATCGTTTCGTCGCCGCGACACGCACCGAATCGGTACATCGATCGTCCGCGAGCGGAAACGATGTCGTTCGAGCTTCACCTGCAACCACCGGGACCGGAAGCCAGGGCAGTGGCCTTGAAGGAGCTCAGGGAGACAGAGGAGAACGTCAAACAAGGGATACTCGAGCTCAAGAAGTACCTCGAGGGTGAGTCATCCACCCAATCAATTTTTATTCCCAACAAAATTTATGAAATTATGAATTTTCTAAACGTCCATGAAATTTGTATTCCTTCATTTTGTAATCGAATCTTTTTTTATTCTTATTTTACTAGAAATACTTCGAAGGTGAGTTACCAACCACTGAAAATTTATTTGCAACGAAATTTAGAAAATTAGGAATTTCTAAACTTCCACGAAATTTGTATTCCATCGTTTTGCAATCGAATCTTTTTACCCTTATTTTACTAGAAATACCTCAAGAATGAGTTACAACCCATTGAATTTTTATTCGTATCGAAATTTATAAAATTAGGAATTTCTAAACTTCCACGAAATTTGTATTCCTTCATTTTGTAATCGAATCTTTTTTTATTCTTATTTTACTAGAAATACTTCGAAGGTGAGTTACCAACCACTGAAAATTTATTTGCAACGAAATTTAGAAAATTAGGAATTTCTAAACGTTCACGAAATTTGTATTTCTTTGTTTTGCAATCGAAACTTTTTACCCTTATTTTACTAGAAATACCTCAAGAATGAGTTACAACCCATTGAATTTTTATTCGTATCAAAATTTATAAAATTAGGAATTTCTAAACTTCCACGAAATTTGTGTCTTTTTATTTTGCAATCGAGTCTTTTCACTCTTATCTTACTAGAAATACCTCGAGGGTGAGTTATTACTGATTGAATTTTTATTTGCAAGGAAATTTAGAAAATTAGGAATTTCTAAACTTCCACGAAATTGGTGCCCCTTCGTTTTGCAATCGAATCTTTTTACCCTTATTTTACTAGAAATATATCGAGGGTGAGTTACCACCCACTGAATTTTTATTCGTATCAAAATTTATAAAATTAGGAATTTCTAAACTTCCACGAAATTTCTATCCCTTCATTTTGCAATCGAATTTTTTCACTCTTATTTTACTAGAAATACTTCGAAGGTGAGTTACCAACCACTGAATTTTTATTTGCAACGAAATTTAGAAAATTAGGATTTCTAAACTTCCACGAAATTTCTATCCCTTCATTTTGCAATCGAATCTTTTCACTCTTATCTTACTAGAAATACCTCGAGGGTGAGTTATTACTGATTGAATTTTTATTTGCAACGAAATTTAGAAAATTAGGAATTTCTAAACTTCCACGAAATTTGTATTCCTCCATTTTGCAATCGAATCTTTTCACTCTTATCTTACTAGAAATACCTCGAGGGTGAGTTATTACTGATTGAATTTTTATTTGCAACAAAATTTAGAAAATTAGGAATTTCTAAACTTACACGAAATTTCTATCCCTTCGATTTGCAATCGAATCTTTTTACTCTAATTTTACTAGAAATACCTCGAGGGTGTGTTATCTATCATCCATTGAATTTTTATTCCCAACGAAATTTATAAAATTAGGAATTTCTAAACTTCCACGAAATTTCTATCCCTCCATTTTGCAATCGAATCTTTTCACTCGAATTTTACTAGAAATACCTCGAGGGTGAGTTACCACCCACTGAATTTTTATATTCTTAACAAAATTTATAAAATTACAAATTTCTAAACGTCCACGAAATTTCTATTTTATTCTTATTTTACTAGAAATACCTCTAGGGAGAGTTACCACTCACTGGAATTTTTATTCACAACAAAATTTACAAAATTACGAATTTCCAAATGTCCACAAAATTTGTATCCCTCCATTTTGCAATGGAATCTTTTTACTCTTATTTTACTAATAACTAGACTGCGGATATTTATGCATTTATGGGAAATTTAGATTGTCAACAAACTATAGAATGCATTTAATATGCAAAAATATAACAAAAACTCAAGTGAGATAAGAATTATTGTATTTAGGGGTTGAAAGAACCCTCTACGAAGCTCTTATTTTATTAATTTTATTAATATATGAATTTGCATAAAAATCTGCAATCTACGAATAACTGATAGACGTATTTGTTATTCGAGGTTTGTACGTAGATAAGAATTTTATCCTCTTCTTAATACCCTCCTCTTGTTCATCTCATTCGATCAGATTTTGGATTAATTTTTATGATTAAAAACAAAATATTACTCTTAGATCTTGGACGAAGATCATTTATATAAAGTAAATTAAATATATGTGGAACAATTAATCGTGTGTGTGTGTTTTTTTTACTAAAGTAGTTGGAATCTCAAACTCACAGAGCATCAAAAGAATGTTTGTTCTTAGCTTCAGAGTAAAACTTTGATCGCCATATATGTATTACTATTCAGATAATCCAGCAGAATCGTTATTGCTCCCAGTATGTTTCTCAGATGTTTATCATTTTTATTTAATATTTCACAGCTTGCACGATTATGTAATTATCTGTATAGATCGTTCAAAATGCATGACGTTCGAAATGTTGCTAAAAATAGCTCGTCCGGGGGAACGGTATTTGTTGTTTCGATTAATTATTATATACCAGCCATTTATTACACATCCAAGGATATTCTATATCGGAGTTACTCCGTTTTCTACTCGATGCGATTAAATTTATGGGCGATAGTGTACGTCGTGTTGTTTCGAAATGTTTCGCTGTAGCAACTGGGAACAATATTTTGCTTGTGTGAAATTACAAATGGCCATTTTAGTCTTAAAACAAGCTTCTCGTGGATGTAAAAATTAATTCAATTTCTTTTGTTTGCCTTAAGTCGTTAAACGATTATGTACGAGAGGTGTACATACTTAGACGTCGAGAGTAAATATTAAAAATTATGACGTTTCGTTCTGGATCCTCTAGTGGACGTATCAGCGAGACCACACAGCAGATACTGCTTTATATATTTATAATATTATCAGCTGTAATTTCAGTTCTCTTACAGATCTCTAAAAAGCTAATTAAATTACGAAATATTAATAACAGAAATAAAAAGATCTGAACTTGAACTGTTAGTAAAGTTTTTAAAATAGCAAACTGATCGTTGTGATAATAAAATGGCGGATACAGGAAACGGAGAACGAAACGATATGAAAAAGCAAGAGATAAAGTGTACGATATTGCAGCATTGATTTAAATTTTCTTAAAATATGATTCTTTTGGGACAGTTAACACTTAAAATTCATACTAATTGTCAAATTCACACGTTGTTCGTTGTTTACCTCGAATCTAGTATTACATATTACGTTTCTCAATCGGTAAGGGAGGGAACTTCTACCCTAGAAACAATATTAACTTTTCCAGAATTGAATTGAGATCACTATTCATCAAAATTTCATATCTTTTAAACCATATACAATCTCTAAAATTTCAATTTCTTTCAAATCCCCAAATTAAAAAAATGAAACTCAAAATACTCGTTTTCCATTCGTTCTCAAGAGTAGCAATAATATTCGTATCTCGATACGATTTTATCTTCTAATAATTAAATATATTTCTGGTCTAGTTTGACTATATTTTCCAGAATTGAATTGAGATCACTATTCATCAAAATTTCATATCTTTTAAACCATATACAATCTCTAAAATTTCAATTTCTTTCAAATCCCCAAATTAAAAAAATGAAACTCAGAATACTCGTTTTCCATTCGTTCTCAAGAGTAGCAATAATATTCGTATCTCGATACGATTTTATCTTTTAATAATTAAATATATTTCTGGTCTATTTTGACTATATTTATCGAACTACTTTTATCCCCGATCGCGAACGAACAGAATCTTTCTTCGACGAAATTCTAGCCTGTCGCTAAAAGTTTAGCGCTATCGAGATCCAATTAGTCGACGATAAATGGCTAAAACTGATTGTTAATCCACCTTAGGCTTTATCGCTGGCAAACAAGCGTTGGATTTTGACGTAATTTTTCGCACCTGCGGAAGACGCGAGGTTTGACAGCGTTTTCGACGCGTCAGCAGTCGATATGTCATCGTTTAATCATGTAGTACGTATTTCCGACTGTCGCGGACAAAACGAGTATCCCTACGTGCTTCATTACGTTTTTTCCTATCTTTTTTTCTTACCGACACACGTTCGTTAATTTATCTCGTTTCTCACGCGTCGACCGATCAACGTCAAAACTCTCGATCGTGAAACCTTGGGAAAAATCTTGCAGAAATTTTCTGATTTTCAAACTGCAGATCCCCCCCTTTTCTAATACAAACATTACTGTGCAACGTCAAACCCAAAAATAGTTACTCAAAACAGACGAAGAAAACACGAAACAAATTATCGAACAAAATACATCAAAAGAATATATTTCGTCTCTTTCAGATATTAACTCTTTCTATTTCAAATACAAATAGTGCTTATATCATAGAAATCTGTAATTTTTTTTCTTCTTTATATTCTTTCTTGTTAGGATAGCAAATCGTATGCGAATTAACATACGTAACATCGCGTGCTGAAAAATTCTACACAATTTCGACTCGTTACCTTTTCATCTATTTCTAAAAATTATTGTTTCCTTTCAAAGTCTAAACAGCAGCCGTATTCAGTTTATTTAGTAATTCATAATTTATTCGAGACGTCTCCAAAAATTTCCACGTACCTTTTCACGGTTTCACGTATATGCAAAACACGCTTTCAGCTACTTCGTTTCGAATTATAAGTGATAGAAAAGGAGATGGACAAGAAAAGAGTGACTGACGAATCTGTCAGATTTCTTTTCAATGGACGCGCTCGATGGCATTGACGAGCTCTTTTGAAAAGAGGTTTACGAGATAAACAAATTAACGCGATGCAAAGCTGAATACACGTATCGACATGTTTTATTTATTTTACAGTAACAGCATTCAAGCAGTCTCGATAATACTAGAGCAACCCATAATCTAATTTCACCTTTGATCTTATATTCTACGCTCTGACATTTGTTTTCTTGTTTATTTTCTTTTTTCATAGCACATCTCTGTCTTACGCTTCGTTCCTTCAAACAAATAATCTCCGGAAGCAAACAAAATAAATTCTAAATTTTATTCGAATAATACACCAACCAATGCATTGTAATTTCATTTTACAAATTGTTATTTTTATTTCA